TGCCATATAAATGTTTTATAACAGCTTTATTGAGATATAATTCATATACCATACAATTCACCCATTTATTTATTTATTTATTTTTACCATCATTTTTTTTAAATGGAACTCAAAATGAATACTTTATAGGAGTCAGAGAAAAATACTGCTGCTTAGAGGCTTCAAGAAATTGGCATCATGTATAAATACATGCTACAGATACACAGATCCCCCTGATAAGGCCCTTTACCATGCAATGTCCTTTGCCCTGCAAACTATATAGAGGAAAATTTTAACTGCATAAATGAATTTAAGTATCTGACTATGTTGTAGGACAAAAATGGAGTAAAATTAAACATTATCATTCTCTTGACTATAAGAGGATACCATCACTTTCTTATTTGGCAGCAGTAGAAACACATCCATGTTGTTTTTTTAATTCACCAATTTAAATTGTACAATTCAGTGGCTTTTAGTACATTCACAGAATTGTGCAGCCATCACCACAATCAATCTTAGAACATTTTCATTATCCTCAAAAGAAACCTGTATCCATTAGCATTCATTTCTCATTTCTTCTGAATCACGCCTACGCTTCACCTCTAGGCAACTACTAATCTACTTCCTACTAGTCTACTTTGCCTATTCTGGCTATTTCATATAAGAAGAAACATATATATTCTTTTGTGTCTCATTTATTTCACTTAGCATAATGTTTTGAAGGTTAATCCATGCTGCAGCATGTATTAGTACTTTATTTCATTTTATGGCTGAATAATATTCTATTGTACCGATATACCGCATTTTGTTTATCCATTTATCTATCAATGGACATTTGGGTTGTTTCCACATATTAGCTCTCACTAAATAATACTGCTATGAACATTCATATATGAGTGAATACTTTTTAAAGGTAGAATTGATGGGACCTAAGTCAATTACTGGGTGTTGAAGGAGAAGAAGTATTAAGGATGCATGCCAGATATCTAACTTGAATAACTATTATTTAAAGTCATAATAGAGTGAGCAGAGTGGAAATATCAGGGCAGTGTGTGATACGTGAGGGTCAAGTAGCTATATAGAAAATATATGCTGACTCCAGCCCTATACTTTTGAGGGTAACAATTTTAAAGAGATTGGAGATCATATTATGATAATGGGCTTAACATGGGACTCTTAAGGTAGAGATGATGCTGTCCCCCATCCCCATCCAACAAGGCTGGGGGAATTCTTATGTTCTGTATCTTCCCTTCCTCTCAGTAAATCACTTATCCAAGTACTGCTTATAAACAATCATATGAACGGTCAATGCCAAGATTGCTTTAGCACCCCCAAACATCTTTGTTTTCATCAACATAAGTAGTTAATATTGGGGAGTGCTATTTTCAACATAGAAAGATAGCTATAAACTTTATTCACTCAGAGCCCTTTATGTTAATTCATTTATTTAATGTAGATTTATTGGATGCTTATTTAAGCTAGATTCTGCAGAGAACTACAAAATGCTTACAACACAGTTTCTGCCTCCAGTGGGGAAGAAATCATGAGAAGGATAGGAATTTAAAGGACTGTGAGCTCACTATTGTCCACTGAGATTAGGGAAGACTTTATGGAGAGATGGTGTTGGACTGGGGCCTTAAAATGTGGGTCGGATTTTAATAAGGAGATAGAGAAAGGAGGGCAGTCTGTATAGAGAGTAGCATGCACAAAATGGCTCGGGGGTATTGATGCCAGGCAAAAGAGTTTAGATTTTTGATGTAGGTCATAATGAGCCACCAAAGCTTTTTTTTTTTTTTAACCTGGGGAGTAGTAATTCAGGAGGATTTCTCTTCCAGTAATATAGGGGAGAAATTAGAGTGGGGAAAGACTAGAGGAAGATGTAAGAGATAGAAGGAATTAGAACTTAACAATTGATTAAACTTAAAGGACAAAAAGGGGGGAGAAAGAGGAGTTCAAAGCCTGGGTAACCAGAAAATGGTGTGCCATTAACACAAATGAAGACAACAGGAAGATATTATTGGGGGTGGAGGATGGAGAAGATGATTAGTTAAGTTGGAAGCACTCTAAAATGGTAGAGTGGAGAGTGGCTCATGCATAGAAATGACCACTGAAGCTGTGGGGATAGATGAGTTTGCCAGGTTGACTGCTCAGCAAAATGTCTGAACCTATGGGGAAAGCTACCTTTAGGAGGTGGTGGGTGAAGCAAGAGCCCACAAAAGAGAAAATTGGACCAGTCAGTGGTTGTAATCACGGTCAGCATCTGAGTGAAAAAGGCCTCTAAATTACTGCAGGTGGCAATTATAGTAGTTTCAGTAGATGGTTTGCAGCATAGGATCATTTCGCAATGCTCCATTCTTTTCATTTCACAGAATGAAAAGCCACATTGGAATGCAGTGAACTAAATTGAATAATATTCAAAAACCATTTTTGTCCCACAGACAGTATATTTCTGAGTGTTATTAGTTACTTTGCCATTTCAAGTAAAAAAAAAAAATCCTACATCACAAAAGGTTCAGGGCTTCTGGCTTAGAATGCATTAGGATAAGTAGAACACCACAAGCTCCTAATTGGTCAGGACTCTGAACCAGTTTCCAAGTGTCTCTTAATGTGGCAAGAAGCAGCAGCTAAGACCCGGTATAAAACCTACTGTGTTCAATGAATCAAGAGGCTCTCCCAACTGCCTTACCTTCTGACTCTTTGAATATGACTACAGTAATCCCATCTCCATTACTCCCACACTGAGCTATGACCTCTGTATACTCTTCCCAGAAGTACAAATTCTTAACAGCAAGCATATTTAACTTTGCAGTATATTCAATTTTAAAGCTTCCTTTTACAAATTTGTCAAAATAAAGGACAATATCATGGCTGCAGCATTGTGTATGTATTCTTTTTGTTTGTTAATCCTCACTGAGGATATTTTTTAATTTAATTTTTAGAGTGGGTAAAAGGGAGGAAGGAAGGGAGGGAGAAACATCGATGTGAGTGTGACACAATTGGTTGCCTCCTGCATGCACCCCGAGATCCAACCTGCAACCCAGGTACATGCCCTTGAAACCCAAGTACGTGCCCTTGACTTGGAATCAAACCTTCAACCCTTCGGTGCCCAGGTCAACACCCTAACCACTGAGAAACACCAACCAGGGTTCTGTACACATTCTTTTTTTTGTTTTTTTGTTTTATGGTTTTTTTGTTTGTTTATTAATCCTCACCTGAGGATATTTTTCCATTAATTATTTTTGAAGAGTGGAAGAGAGAGGGAAAGACAGAGAGAAACATCAATGTGAGAGAAACACATCAATTGGTTGCCTCCTGCATGTGCCCCGACCAGGGCCCAGGCTGGGAGAAGCCTGCAACCAAGGTACGTGCCCTGGACCAAACCAAACCTGGGACCTTTTGGTCTGCAGGCCAACACTCTATCCACTGAGACAACCTTGCTAGGGCTGTACACATTGACTGTGGCATTATTCTTTGGAACATCACAACATTAACATACCATATAAATGTCAAATTACAGTTCTTTTTTGGTTCATATAAGTAAATTCTAGATCAAGTAGTAGAACTTGATGATTTTTTCACGTTTTTCTGCCTCTCCCTACAGATAATTTCCCTACAGGAAAAACTGAAATTTTTTCTGGAGAAGTGAGGAGAGCCTTCAGCCTTGCACATCCAGATTGAAGACTGCATGAAACTGTGCATGTTTCTGTTTGTTTCATTGTTTTATGTTGAATCATTTGTATTTGTTTCTCTGTGCCACTTTTTGCTAACTATATTTGAAGTTTTTAGTAGTGTAGAAAGGGACAAATTATAAAAAAGTAGTAGACCTAAGGACCCAACTCAACTATGGGACTTTGCTTCTCTTTATGAATTTGAGAATTATTTATATTGCTCTGTTCCATGGTGCCATCAGATGATTCAGTCATGCTTGCCAAAGGCAGTCTAACCTTGAAGGCTATGCAGCTGGTTTGCATATGTTTTAGCCTTTTCTTCTGTTTGCTTTATGTATTTTCTAAAACATTGAATAAATTGAGTCATTTCTACCAAGGGCTAGGAATGGCTACAGTGAATTTAAGTGCCTACTTCATGGCAGCTAATAGTAGGTTATGCTCTGTCTCTGTTCATGTAATAGGGGCTGCTTTCCTACTCAGGGATGATTTTTTTACTTTATTAGTATTTATTTCATGCTGAATTTACTCCTGGACCATAAGTTTTTATTTCTTCAGTTTCGTCTGGGGTATCTTTTCCTTCTGTGCAACCTCTTCTTCTCGTTTAGAAACAACCTGCTCTTCTTCAGTAAGGAGCATCTCCATGTGGCAGGGAGAGCTCATGTATGAGTTAATCCGCCCATGAGCTCTGTAAGTTCTGTGTTGCATCTTCGGAGCTTTGTTCAGCTGGATGCGCTTAATGAGAATCTACATCTAAACCTTTAAGTTTAGCATTACTCTCTGCATTTGTAAGCATGTGCAGCAAAAATTCAGCACTCCTTTTGGGCCACCGACCCTGTGTCCAACCCCACTGTTTGGCCTGGGCACACCTATAAACGCCACCATTATAACGAAGGACTGGCACACATTGCTTCTGTAAACGGGCACCCTTCACATACTTGGTGGCTTTTCAAATATGCATACCCTTGGTGGCCTGGGCAGTTTCATGAGTGTTTCAAAGTGAACACGAAGATTTGAACCTCTCAATTTGCATGATTTTGTGGTCGACACTGGGGATCGGGCCTGCAACCTGGGCATGCGCCCTTGACCGGAATCAAACCCTGGACCCTTCAGTCCACAGGCCGATGCTCTACCCACTTTGTCAGACCAGCTAGGTCTCATAAGTTCTCTTAAAGTGAAAACAAAGATTTGAACCTCTTGATTTGAATAATTTTGTGAAGTTTTCTGAGTAGCGAACCATTTTTAGAGGTCACCTCAGGCCACTTACGGGAAGAGTCAGGGATGATTTCCTGCCACTACAATCTTTGCCCCGATGTTGTGTTTTTAGGACTGTGTCTGGTTGTTATTTTCTAGCTAAGGGAATAGAGCAGAGATGAAATTCTAAGGGTTCCCCTTATTCTGAGCCTCTTCATCCTAACCCCCATCAGAAAAGGTTAGGAAAGACCAGATGCTGTAATGACTATGCAGACTCCCTTAAAAACCATGGATGCATATGTTCGTTTTAGCTGCATTGTTAAGGTTTTCCACTCTGTAATCTTTAAGCAATAAATAAATTCTTCATTTTAAATGGATTGCTGTCACTTTATTAAACCACTTCCAAAAGGAAACTGGAGAGATAAGCAGTTAACTATGATTAGGAAATGTCACAAGATGCTGTCAGTACTGGAGCTCCTTCTAAAGAGCTCCTAGGATAACTCCTAAAGAACTAAGCAAATCATCTCATATTAACCATAGAGCTCCAATATTTTTATTGAATTATGTTTTAGTGGAATGAACATATGGTTGAAATCCCAGCTCTACTACTCACCTTGGACATGTTTCTATACCTCTTAGAGCCTCCATTCCCTCATCTGGAAATCAAGGGTGATAATGCTTATTACCAAGAAGCATCTGAGGGTTTTCTGGAAGTAGTCCAGCTAGACCCAGGTCTGGTCCCAATTGATGAAATTGGTGTTTCTCTGGGAAATGTACTCACAAATTTTTTCTGCCACTTCAGGTACTCCAATTCCAAATTGAAGTTAGTAAGCCAAGGGCAGAGAAGGGGAGGGAGGTCAATATGTATGGGAAGGGCCTATGGAGGAGGGATAAAGATGGAATGCTGGGAGCTAACTAATGCAGGGAAGAAGTGGAATTAAGGGAGATAGACATGTTAAGGGTAAACTAAATGAAGCCAAGATTAGGTGAGAAGTTATAGGACAGCTTGAAAACCAAAATGATATAAAAATATTACCTCCCTCCTCCCCCGCAGAAACCCAGAATTTAAAAGATGAGAAGAGAATGGGGAAAAGGAATTGAGTGTCAGAGGCAGAAGGTGGGAGAAGAGGCAGGGTTTGAAAAGAAGATAGGCCTTTTCAGATGAAGGAAGGCAGGGGACTGGAACAAACAGATAAAAAGTACCCAGGGCACATGGCTGGAGAGACTGAGATCAGTGAGGGTGGCACATATGCCACACATGGCATCCAAGGGTGAGAGAGGTAAAAGAACCCTATCTAGTCTCTGTCTGATACTGCAGCCTAAGAGCAGCCAGAGCTCTGCTGAGAGGCAAGGGGGAAGGGAAGATAACAGGAAGGGACAAGGTCAAATTCATGTGTCTGCAGTGGCCTTTCATTCCTTCCAATACCATATCTCATTGTAATCCTGGGCAACTCCTTTGCCATTGCACTCCAGTCCCCCAAGGCATATTGCCACCCTGACTCTCCATCCCACCCAACATACACATATATGATACCTCACAAAGTCTTTTTTTTAAAAAAACAGCCCAGTGATTCTGACTTTTGTATATTACAGACCTGCACTGGCCAACATGGTATCCACTAGCCACCTGCGGCTTTTGAACACTTGGCATATATCTAGCCTGAATTGAGATGTGTAGCAAGCATAAAATAGACACAGGGTTTCTATAGGGGGACTGCTCTGTGCCAATGGCCTAGCAACCTCACACTATCCTCATAGGTCACATAGGCAAGGCTCAAATGCAGGCTGCTCTGGGCCTTGGCGAATGCCCTGTAATTCTATAGGTACGTGGGAAGATAGGCAGTCTCACAAGGAGCTCCTACAAGATCATTCTCACTCACCTCCTTATCTTGAGGGAGGCTGCCATGAGGCAGTTTCTCATCTGTTTCCTTCATTCTGGTGAGGCATGGCATTTTATGCCTGCCCCCCAGCACCAAAGGGGACATCTGCAGGCCATAAAACTGCTTAGCTGCAGTTTGGAATTGGCTACTCAGCAGCAAGGTACCCCAGCATCCATGGTACATGTCATAAGGCTCCTTTTGTTTCATTGTTGTCCTGTGGGACAAGGGGTGCAGGGACCTAGTACCATTGCTGTTCTTGCTTTTGCTGTCTCTCTAAGTAATAAATTGTCTGCATCTATGTGGGTTTCTTGTTTCTTTATAAGCCTGTTTCACAATTTCTAAGACTTCTCTTTTAAAAAAGGAATCTAAAATATCATTAAGAATCATTTTATACTGATTACATATTGAAATAATAATATTTTAGATATACTGTGTTAAATAAAATATATTAGCAAAATTTGCTTCACCTGTTTATTTTTACCTTTTAATATGGCTGCTAGAAAGTATTAAATTGCGTATGTGGCTCACATTATATTTCTATTGGACAGTGCTGTTATAGATTGGTGAAAAAAGAAAAACTGTGGTAGCAAAGAGGGACTAGCAGAGTTTTATTTTGCCAGAAAATGGCATTTATAAGAAACTATCACCACCAATTATTTACAAGGACATTATACATATAATCTAGAGAATAGACCTTTAAATTGAATAAATGTAACTTTATGGCCACTTACTGCATTGTTCTTTTTTTTTAAAACAAATTTTATTGATTTTTTTACAGAGAGGAAGGGAGAGGGATAGAGAGTTAGAAACATCGATGAGAAAGAAACATCGATCAGCTGCCTCCTGCACACTCCCTACTGGGGATGTGCCTGCAACCAAGGTACATGCCCTTGACCGGAATCGAACCTGGGACCCTTGAGTCCGTAGGCCGATGCTCTATCCACTGAGCCAAACCGGTTAGGGCTCTTTTTTTGAAAAAGTATATTTTATTGATTTTTTACAGAGAGGAATGGAGAGGGATAGAGAGTTAGAAACATCGATGAGAAAGAAACATCGATCAGCTGCCTCCTGCACACTCCCTACTGGGGATGTGCCTGCAACCAAGGTACATGCCCTTGACCGGAATCGAACCTGGGACCCTTCAGTCTCCAGGCCGACGCTCTATGCACTGAACCAAACCGGTTAGGGCGCATTGTTCTTTTTTGTATATTGTTTCAGGCTGGTAAAAAAAAATTCCTCAGATTAATGAGAATGGTATTGAAGAACCATTGCCATAAGAGCTCATTTGGTGAGGGTATAACTAGCTAATGTGTGTAGGGCATTAAGAAGCAACCACTTCAGGTAACTGTGGTGGATGTACTTAGTGGGGGTGTCTTTTTGGTCCAGTAGGTATTGGACTCATCTGGTAACCTATGTTTTGCAGTGCTGCTGTGGCTTCTTGGCCCACCTTCTCTTCCCACACACAAATAAGAGAAGGGTGTAGAATATCAGAGTCAAAGAGTATATATAACCAGAGGAACCAAAGTAAACAAATACAAATTTATTCTTTTCAAAGAAGACTTCAAGGGAAAGGAGAAAAGCACCACAGTGAGTGGCAATCAAAGTTAACTAATTTGTTCCCAGCCCTGCCTCTTTGTCTCAAACATTTCCAGACTTATGTGTCACCCTTGTCATCTCCCCCGAATCTCTTCCCCAACTCCCATCCTCGTGACCAGTTCTTGCAGCCAGCAAGCAGCATAGCAGGCTCCAGTCCAGCCTCAATACTGCCCTGGGGACAACAAGGACATTCAGCAGGTCCCTCCGCCAAATGCAGCAGTTGTGGGAGGAGATGGAGGCTGGGAGCTGAGCCCTGGCCTTGAGCCTTTCCCTCTCCCACAGCCATGGGTGTTAAAAGAATAAGAAGGAACTGAAATATTCCTTTGTTCCTAGGGCCAGATTTGGCAGGGAGTCCCAGAGATAGAGGTGCCCTGCTGAGCAACTAAGTCTCCACAGCTCTGGGGCAAGGCCTCTAGTTTTCTCTTCCAGGACTGTTTATCTTAAGGCAGCTACTTCCTTGGTTATTTGTCACCTATGTCAAAGAAACTTTGATGAAATTCTTGGCCCGAAATGGTTTCAGAGGCCACAAGTCTACCATTGAGAATGTGTATTGAAGGAACACCCTCTAGCCTGAACACACCATCTCAGACAGTATGAGTATTCCTTAAAATGAATCTGGAGGCAAACCATCTCCCAGAATTGGCCTTTGCCTGTCCTCAGGATTTCTTATTACTGTAACCTAACAGCCCAGTTCCTGGAACAGATAAACTCAAACAGGTTTCTCCGCAATAAA